AAGTAATATAATAATATATATATATATATATATATATATATATATATATATATTTTAATATTAATACATAAAAAAAAAAAAATTAAAATAATTTTTTTTTAATTATTTTTTTTAACTATATATTTTCATTAATGATAATTTTTTTCTTTTTTTTATATATTTATAATACAATAAATGTTATTTTTTTTATATTCAATTTATAATTTGTAATATATATATATTATAAAATATATTAAATAATTATATTTATATTATTGATTTAAGAATTTTATAAAATTAATTTATATTTATATTAAAAAATTCAACTTTTTATATTTTAATATTAAAAAATAAATAACATATAAAATATTTATTTATTCCTAAAATTTAAAAAACAAATAACTAAAAAATTCAAAATAATCATTAAGTATGTATTTTTTCGTTAGCTCTTTCTACAAATCCTTAATAATTCCATTTACTTTAAATTCTGTGAGGTTTTTCCATTTTAATCCCATCCTTATCGACAATTGTGATTTAAATAACATCATGAGCTTTTGTATCTCTATAATATAGAGATTCAAAACATTTTTAAATAACCTATTTAGCTTATTCTAAATTAGATTGAGGATTCCAATTATTATCAATAAGTGCCCCTGATAAATATCCTCCGAAACCAGTAGAAACTTGCTTACGTTCTAAATAAGTGCCATAAGGATCAACCTAAGCCAAGTAAGGCTTTCCTTAATAAAATCCTCCAATAACACTCCAAAGGTAAATAGGGTTCATTTTATTTCTATAATGGTATTGTAATTAAGAAATATAATGTGCATAATCTTAAGGAGTATAACTTATATTATCATCATTTAAAAAAGTCTAGTTTGTCATTTCTTATGTTAAACGGACTACTTCTTAGAAATCTGCAAATTCACCAGTAGCTGTATAAACACAATTATCAGTTAATTTTTCTACTCTTTACACATTAGTGAATTTTAAACTTGAATAGTAAGAACAGATTGTGTCAGTACCTATTATCACTCCTTAATCGTAAACTAAGGCTATTACACTTGAACCTACTACTGTAGGGCTTAATGTGTGTGATTTGTTCAAATTATTTTCAACAGAGTCAAACTGATAACTATCTTTGATTTTCGTTTGTTTATTTATGTAAAATGCCATTTTTATTATTTATTTTTTCTTTCCTTTTTTAGTTTTATTTTTTTTTTAGGATTTTTTTTTTTTAAAGAATATAATTTACTTTATATATATATATATATTTTTTTATTTTTTTTTATATTTTTTTTATTTATTTAAATATTAAAAATCATTTCGGTTCTGAATTTATATATTGTATATAGTGAAATACTTTTTTATTTTTTTATTTTTTAAATATTATATTATAAAAAGATATTATATATTTATAAATATTATTATATTTATTTTTAAAAATTCAAACAAATATTCTTTTTAAATTATGAAATTTAGAAAAATATATTTGTCTGTGTCTGTAATTATAGTAATTAAAATAAATCATCAAATTCTAATTAATACTGCTTACTAAATTTTTAGTATTTCTTTAATTAAATAAAGAAATATATTATAATAAGTTTAATTTTTATTTTTAATGCTTAAATATATTTTTTTCTAAAAATAAATATTAGAAAATAATAAAAAAGTAAGTTTGAATATTAATATACAAAAAAATATATATAAAATAAAATTAATATATATAATTTATTATATATATAATATTTTTTATTTTATTAAACTTTTTTTAAATATTATTATTATTATTTTTAATATTTTTATTACTTTTTAATTTATTTTATTTTTTAAATTAATAATCAATTTTTTTCTTTCATATAGATAAAGATAAAGAACATCTTATTTTAATAATATCTAGTATAAATTATTTTAAAAAAGGAAATTAGTTTCTTAATATTAATTCAAGAAAAGGGATAATTATTTTTTTTTCCAAAAATTAATTATAGAAAGGCCTTCTAAAAAAATAATTTACAAACATTTATTTATTTCTTTCTATAAATTCTTTCTTTTCACATAATCTTTCAAATTTTATATTTCTTTATAAATAAATTCTCAATAAATCTATTAATAAAGATATTAAGTAAGGTTTGTAAGACTTAATTCCATATATTTTCAAAAAAATAGAATATATTAAAGGTCTTACTATATATAGTAATTCTCATAATTGCGCTTATTAATTATTTTATTAATTTTTTGAAGTAGTTTTAATCAATGGCAATTTGTTTATAATTTTTATTCTTTTATTAGTATTTTATAAAAACTCTATTTAATTTTTATTAAATTTATTATTTTATAATGAATTGTGTTTCATTTAAATTATTTAATTCACTTATAATTCTTCGATATTTTTTTAATAATCTATTTCATCTTATGTAAAAATTTTTATTATTTCTTATGTTTTTTAATCGTTTTCTAAATTATATTATACAAATTTGTTGTTTTCGGAAATGAATATTTGATTGTTGAATTTCTTTAATTTAAAATACATTTTTACTATTTCGGAAATTATCAAATAATTTAAAAGTGTATTTTTTTATTATGATGTACATATAATTATTTGCTCAGTATAGAATTATAGTTATTATAATATTTTTAAATATTAGTTTTGTTTAATAATATTTTATAAATTGCTTTACATCTTTTTTTTATATATTTTTATTAAAATAAATAAATAAATTATTAAAAAAAGTTTTTTAGATTAATAAAAAAAAAATTATTAATAAGTAAAATTTTCTTTTTTCTAAATAATAGTTTTGATTATTTTCTTTAAATTTAAAATCTTTTTATTTTAATAAAAAAATATTTTTCTAAATATATAAATAAAATAAATTTATTTATTTATATTCTATATAAAATTAGAAAATAAATTCATAATATTGCTTAATATGTATTTTATTCAGTTAATTATTAAATTAATTTTCTGTAAAATAAATTATGATTAAGAAGAAAATATTTAGTATAAAAAAATAAAAAATATTAAAAATAATAAATAATGTTTGATTAATATAATTTAAATAAATAAATATATTATTAAATAATTATTATTAGTTTAATTATTAAAATTTAAAATAAAAACTATAATCATGTTTTTAATATTTCTAACCTATAAAATTTTAAAATATTATTATAGCAATTTTAAAAAATGTTATAGATTAACTATTATTTTATTTAGTTAGTAATTATGTTAATTAATATTAATTCATTAAAATCATTAAAATAATAAAATAATAATATAAAATAAATAAATAAATATATTATTTATATAATTATATTTTTAAGTCATATAAAAATATAAATAATTTATCCAAAAAAGTAGTTTTTTAAAATATTTATATTAGTAACTAACTACAATAATTTTTTTACTAAAAAATATATTAATTATACTTAATAAATTTAAGAAAAAGATATAAATCATATATATATATATGTATAATAATGTATATATGTATATATGTATATATGTATATATGTATATATGTATGTATATATGTATATATGTATATATGTATATAATTTTATATGTATATATGTTATTTTTATATCTAATATATTTTGTTTTTTCTACATATTTCGTTTTTTTATTTTATTTTTTTACATGATATTTTTTAAAGATTTAAATAAAAATATTTTACTTTTTAAAATTTATTTTAAAAAATGTTGTAGTTAATAAGTTTTAACTGCATATTTATATTAATTTTTACTTTATTCAATTAAGTTTGCATATCAAGTACTTAATCAACTTTTGTATATTTTCATTATTAAATATTTGCTTATATTTCCTTTTATTTTATTGCATTATTTTTTTTAAAATTATTTATTATTAAAATAAGTTTATTTTTTTATTTTTGATAAATTTTTATTTTAAATATTTCAAAAAAAAAAAATTAAACTTTTGAATTTTTATATATTAAAACAAATAAAAAAAATTAAATATTCAAATTCTGTACATTATTAGGTCTGGTTCTTCTTTAAACATTTTAATAATTTTCTCTAAAAATTAATTATTTTCGTTTTTAATTCTTAATTATTCCCATTACAAAATAGATATTTCCAATACCTTATATCCTTATTTTAAATACATGATATTTCTGAAAACATCCTTTGGTAATTTGATGTTTACTTTATGATATTAACCATCTAATTCAATTACTAAATTTAATGAAGGAACATACAAATCACAATATCGAAAATCAATAAAGTGTTCACATATGTATTCAATATTTTTTTTTTAAAGAAATTAACAAAATCACTATTAAACTCATTAAATTAAATACCTTTTTAAATTTTTAATTATTCATAACTTTTTTAAATAAAAATAAATAATTATAAAAACAATAATTTTTTTTACAATTATTTATTATTATTGAGATAATTATTTAAAATTTTTGTAATATTAACATTTTCTTTATACATAAATAAATAAATTCTTATTAAATACATTATGTAAACTTTTTTTAAATCAAATATATTTTAATCATTTAAATTTTCTTTGATTATTTTGTCTAAAATTTCAAATAATTATGTTTTTTAAAAATATAAGAAATTTTCTATTTAATTCTTATATACTTTACTATTTTTAAATAAACTATTATTTTATTAAACTATAAATAGTTATTATTCATTGTTCATTAACTTTTTATAAAACTATATATATTATTTATAATAAATAAAAATACTTGTATTAAATATTTTAATTAAGATTTTATTGCTTATAAATAAAAGTTTGAAGAATTATCTTCTAATTTTTTACCTAAGATGTTTAAAATTTTATAACCATATTGTAAATTACTAAATTCTTTAAATAAAAATATAAAAAAAGTAATGTTATGCTAATTAGATTATTATAACTCATTACAAACAATATCTTCCAAAATATTTAATAATTAAGTATTGCGAACAAAATCAGAAAGGGAAAGACACTATTTTAAAAAATATATAAATACATATATATATAAATATATATATAATATATATATATATGTATATATGTATATATATATATATGTATTTATATATATATTTTACTTAAATAAACTGATAAATAAATTATAAATTTTATAATAAATATTTTTCAGATTATTCTTTATTTTATATATTCTCATAATTTTTTAATAAATATGTTTATATTTCTCTTAAAAAATCATTAAAAGGAAAATATGATTTATTACCTTTATCACTAAGTACATAAATATTAGTTAATACTTATTTTAATTTTTTAATTTTATTTTTTCTATATTTACAACAAGCATATTGCTTAAAGTTTTATTTAAAATATCAGTTTCTTTGTACCTTAAATATGGAAAAAGTTTAATTATTTCTTATAACAGATTTAATAACTAATTAAATGTAATGTTTTTATTTTACTATTAATTAATTTAAAATAAGATTTGTTTTATTAATAATATATTGCTTTATATTTAATTCATTTATATTATTTAAATTATAAATGCAAGCTTGTTATTAATATCTAAATACTAAATATAATTAGAGAAATATTTTTATATTGTATAATTATATAACTCTTCATATTATTAAGGCTTCAAGTTGTCAAATTTATTTAATAATTCTTAAAAATTTTTATTATTTTTTTAAGTCTTATAAATTTATTTTAAATAATAAAATTCTTATGATGGATTCAATAGATTTATTTTATTTTTAATTGCAAGAATAAGAGAAATATTATTAAATAAAAACATTATTTATTTTTAATCTTTCAAATTTTATTTATCTTTTATTGATTGGTATTAATAAAAATATTCATATTTTTATAAATAATCATATTCTAGTGGTATTGTGCAAAAATTATATCTTATTCTAAATGGAATAATTACTATTTTTTAAAATATTAACATTTATAAATAAATATATTTTTTTTAATAATAACAATAATAAAATAAATTAAAAAAATAAAATAAATTTAATCTTTTAAAATAATAAATAATATTTATAAAAATAATTATGCACTTTTTGCAATTTTTATTAATAATAAATATAGCAATCTAAAATAAAAATAAATGCAAATAAAAAAAAATATATTTTAAAATGAATTAAAAAATAATATATATATCTGAAAATATTAATATTTGAATATTTTTATAAAATTAGAATTACAATAAAAATTTTTTGATCAAAAT